TTACCCCATGCTCAACGCCATACAGTTGTCTAATCGCTCTTGAAAAAGCTTGGTTATCCCATAAAATTACCTGCTAAAATTTGACTTTGTCCTACGCTCAATTTGCGGCTTTCTATAAGTAGATATGAATTCGTTCCATTCCTCAAAACAGTAAATATCTATCAGTTATATGGATGAAATGCTAATCGGCCCGGGGCCTATCTTTTCTTTCGAGTCCTCTGCGGAAAAAAATGACAACTCCGATCCACTTTGAAGAGCTGAACGTATTTTCACCTAAATTTATGTACATGAGACACACAGCTTGCCGGCCATTATGGAAAGCCTTAGGGATGAGGGTGTGGACTCGGGGAGACAGGAGTGAGGCGATTCAAAGCAAGCTTTATCAATACACAGAGAAGATGAACACTCAACCCTCAAAAGACTGGTGCATGTATGCCACCATTTGCGGGAACTTGAGCCGGCAACTGATGCTGTGGAATTGGTGGCGGTGGTGGTGGTGGTGGTGGAGGAGGAATACACAGTTCATACTCAGTGAAGGTGGGTGGAATCTGTGGATTAGGGGGTACGTTCATTGGAATAGTCTTTCGCCTGGCCACCTGTTGCTGTTGTTGGTGGTGGTGTGACAAGTAGTCCTCTTCAGCCCCTGTTGTTGTGCCTGAACTGGAGCGTGAGATGTACTGTTGCGGACGCACGGAGTACCTCTGCGGACTGTGCATCGTCACCATGGGCACATGTGAACCTCCGGCATTTGACGACATATCAGAAGGTGTTCGACTCCCTGGTGATACTACAGACGCCTTCTGCGGAACCTCGGCATTGATCAGAGAAGCTGTAGCGTAAGGTGTAACGCTAGAACTCAGATGATCCATTCCTGAACCATTTCCATTCGAGCACCCCAACTGAGCCACTGGCGCAACCGGTGGAAGCCCGTTTGTGCTTGGACTATTTTCAATAACTGAGGCTGAGAAGACACTGCTGTTCGAAATCTCTGCAGGTCGATATTCTACAAAGGGATACTCCATATGTTGTGTAGGGATGTGGGAAAAGAATGGAGACGGGGAGAACTCTGATGCCTGGCCGGGGATGCCCTCTTCATAAGTGTGCTGAACTTGACTGATATTGGGATTGCAGCTTCCTCCAGTTGAAGAGCTATTTGTACTTGCTATGGTGGTAGTGGTATTTTGTTGAGTTGACGTTGTGGGCGCTTTCAGTGCTGAATCACTTCCCTGAGGACATTCCATATCACTAACCCCGCCAGAAATGGAATGGGGCTTGATTAAGGGGACAAGGTTATAGGCTTCCTTTGAAACAACAACGGCGCTGCATTTACGGGTCGCTTCTTCACTAAATCCTCCTCCAACAGATGATGGATACCGCTGTTTCGGTTGGGTCCTCTGCCGAAGGCAGAATATGACAGCAAAGAACATTGCAAGCAACCAAATCACCAAGACACCAACTACAATGCCAATTACCCAGGGTTGAAATTGGATGAGACCACTAGTGGTACCTGTCGATTGTGAAGTGTCGCTGATAATCCCACCTTCAGATACAGAGAAATTAATTGGAACACTTTTGGAGCTGCTGCCTCGACAATTCACAGCCGTCATTTGAAGATGGTAGACCTCACCACCTTTGAGACCACTTATGACACCTTTAGTATCACCGTAACGAAACTTCAGCTCTCTTTTATCGTTTTGTGCGGCGTTGAATACATAAACAACGAAACCAGTAATAAGACCGTTCCATGAATCCGCAGGTGGAACTGTCCATGAAATCTCCACACTATGATTTGACTGTTTTTTCACTCCAACAATCTGTGGAGGTGTTGAAGGTACATCTTCATGTACAAGAAACAGAATCGTTTCATTTTTTGCCTGAACAGGGTAGAGAGAAACTGGTTGTATGAGGACGGAGTAGCAGCGAAAAGGTTTTAGATGCGCAAGAGTTGTCGTCCAAGGGGAGGCAAATCCAAGGTCTCGATTTAATGGAAGATCAGCAAATATTTCTGGCTCCTCATGAGGAACTAGTGATACACCCTGAGTATCCCTCAGTGAAGCCGTATTGAGCTGCTGTTGGTAGATCTGAATTCTTTGTGTTAAGGGCTCTCCTGAACGCAGGCTACAAAAGGTAGCGTCGTAGACATTTGCCGAAATGCACCTAGTTAGAGGAACCTCCTTGTATCGAACAGAAAATCCGGTCAGCGCTGAAGTGACTTCGTGTAAATCCTCAAGACTCCAAATAACACGAGCTGAAGTTGATGACAGGACTTGAACCTGTAAACCCTGCAACTTGATTAATCCAGGTCCACTGGCTACCGATGGATCCTGACGATACTGAATTTGGATAGGTCCCAGAGGAGCACTAGCCCATCCAATGCGACCGTCAATCCACCTTGGTCGGATCAGAAAGTAATAAGCAGAGTTTGGCTGAAGAGGTTCCAGTCGGATGGCATTTCGAAGCCAGGATTCCTGCAAAACCTGCCATCCCATATCTGCTTCGGCTGTATGAAACATTTCAATCCAGTATGATATCTGATTCGTGTCGTGGACGCTAGGTGGACTCCAAATCAATGTCACAGATTTTGCAGTTTGATTTTGAACTCTAAGATTCTCGGGTGGTGACAGAGGTTCCGCAGGCTCTGTAGCCAATGAAATATGACTACTGGGAGGCAGAACTACCAAACTTGCAGTCCAATTCGACTGCATATAGGGACCATGGTCAGACTGTAGGAAGCATGTATAGTTACCTGTATCTTCCACCATAACTCCGTTGATTTGTAGCCCACCCCCAGGCAGAAGAGAAAATCTAGGATCACGATCTCGATGGAAGAATTCTATACGTTCTTGGAGACCCCCTGTGGATCTTGTACCTCGTACCCAGAAGACATTCGACTGACTTGCCTCAAAGTCTCTTCCAGTTGGGTCGAAACTGGCCTCTGGTTCACGAGTTATACCCACTTCGCAATCCAGAATAACTGTTTCTCCTGCCATTCGAGTCTGATTAGCAGGTGGCAAATTAATGATCGGAGGAAGCGGAGTCGTATCCCTAGTAGACCGAGAATAAACTTGTAAATGA